TGTGTGTGTGTGTGTGTGTGTGTGTGTGTGTGTGTGTGTGTGTGTGTGTGTGTGTATTTAATTTTAATTAATTTTTTAAACTGAGTGGTGGTTACATGGAGATTTGTTGTCACTACTTTATATATTTTATGTATTATGTAAATATTCTTTTTTTAATTATTCAATGTTAATAAGTCATGGTATCTCAGAGTTAGAAGTGACCTTAAATATCATCTAGTCCAGCTTAAGCAAGTATCACTTTAGAGTGTTATTTAATTGTTTAGTGTTTTACTCAAGCAGATTGTAGGTGTCTTAACAACAGGGGCTGTGTCTTGTACTTAATAGTTTTCAGACCATGGCTGCAGGTCCAATGTATGATACATGATCTGACACTATGATACAATATGCAAGCAGGACTGTCCCAGAAAATCTAGAAATACAGTTAGTGTAAGTATACTTTTAAAAAATTTCTCACTGCCTTCAGGAATATTCTTATATATGGAACTTCAGAAAAAAATTATGGAGGAATACGTGTTTATTGAAAAAGTCAAACAAGCAGTAGTTTATAATCAAAGATTAAAATTCCTCTCTCTCATGTCCTGAGGCTGACTCATGTTAGTATAGTTTGGTGAATATCTTCCCAAACCTTTCTGTGTGTGGAAACATATACAGGTATCTTTTCTCTTCTTTAGGAAAATGAAGTCAGAATAAATATGTTTCCCTAAAAGTTGACAGCCTATCAATGTATGATGAACAGTCTTCCAAACCATACATATAGATCTAACTCATTCTTTTTAACAGTTGTATAACATCATCTTTGGTCGTGCCATAATTTATTTAACCATCCACTTATTAATAGACATCTAGAGGGAGTTCCCTCGTGGTCCAGTGGTTAGGACTTGGTGCTTTCACTGCCATGGCCCGAGTTTAGTCCCTGGTTGGGGGACTAAGATACTGCAAGCCACGCGGTGTGGCCAAAAAAAAAATTAGACATCTAGATTATTTCCAAGTTTTGGCTATTCCAGAGAATGTTGCCAGTAATCATCTTTTATGTATGTCACTAAACAGTAATGCCATTTATTTTTGAAGATTCGCATAGTGGTATTACTAGGTGACAGGTTTTTTAATGACTTTCTGGATATTTTATTTCCTCAAAGTTTGTAGTATTTTTCATTCTTTCCAGGAGTGTTATGAAAGTGCCAGTTTTACCATGTCATAGTCAGCTCTGAATGTTGTTCCTGTCCCTTTCTTTCAGATTTCTCAACCTCGTGGGTGAAAAGTGGTTTCACTTGGTTGTATGTGCATTCCTGACTACTAATGTGGCTGTCTTTTCATTGGCTTATTGACCACCTGCATTTCCATTTGTGCAAATTATTTATAGTTGCAGTTTTCTCTTTGGGTTGTTTATCTTTTCTTTGCACTTCATATCCTGTTTACAAATATTCTCTCCCTGTTTGTTTGTAGACTTTGTGGTATCTTTTATGGTAGCTAATATTTTCTCCTTAACATTCTGAGTGCTGTTTACTGAGATATAATTTACATACAGTAAAATTTACTCCTTCGGCATAATTGTAGTTAAGTGAGTTTTGAAAAATGTGTAGCCATCATATTACCAAGTTATAGAATATTGTCATCATCCCAGAAATTACCCCTAAGTAATTAATTTCCCCCAATCCCAGCCTCTGGCAACCACTGATCTCTGTTTTGTGTCTATAGTTTTGCCTTTTCCTCAATGTCTCGTAAATGGAATACAGTATGTAGCATTTTGTGTCTGGCTTCTTTCACGTAGCCTAGTGATTTTGATATTTACCTATGTTGTTACAAGTCTCAATAATTTGTTCCTTTTCATTGCTGAGGAGTATTCTGATATATGATATGTCTTTCCTAGGGCTGCTGTAAAAAAATCCCACCAACTAGGTGGCTTAACCAAAAAATATATTGTCTCACACTTCCGGAGGCTAGAAGTCTGAAATCAGGGTGTCCACTGGGTTGGTTCCTTATGAGGACTGTGAGGGAGAGTCTGTTCCATGCCTCTCCCCCAGCTTCTGGTGGTGCCAGGTGTTTCCTTGGCTTGTTGCCGCATAACTCCAACCTCTGCCTCCACTTTCACGTGGTTGTCTTCTCCTTGTATGTGCCTTCACATTGTCTCTTCTCTCTCTGTGTGTTTGTCTCTGTCCGTATTCCTCCTTCTTTATTAGGACACCAGTCACATTGGATTTGAGCCCACTGTCGTGACCTCATTTTATCTTGATTACTCGGTAGAGACTATCTCCAAGTAAGATCACATTGTGAGGCACTAGGGGTTAGGACGCCCACATGTCTTTTTGGGGGACACAATTCAACCCATAATATGTGAATGGACACAGTTTGTTTGTTTATCCATTCACCAGTTGATGGACATTCAAATTGTTTCTGTCATGATAGATAATTTAAAACAAAAGAAAAGAGGAACCTTGGCTTGCCTGCTCTTTTTAGCCTTTGACTATGTGGAAGAGGAGAGATGTTATTTCTCTGCTCAGATCCCAACCCACCTTCCTGTTTGGAAAAAGTGCTAGAAAGCAACACAGTGCTGGCCACAGAAAGGAAAGAGGAGATTCCAAAAAACTAGAGACTAAGAGACTTAAAGTTAAAAGAAGAACATGTGATGAAATGAATTTACCCAGTAATCTAATTTTTTTGTTTCATTTGTATTTTTCTTTTACATTAAACTTCTCTTTAAATCTTTTTTAAGGGGGATATTTAAGCTTTTGACTCGTATGCTCAATAATGAACTGAGTTGGTTAACTGGAGTAGGTCATGGCCAAACTTAAGTGTTCAGTTCTGTGCCGGTTGGTTTCATCTTGTCCCCTCTTTCTCCAGACCATAAGCTCTGGCCCTAGCAGTTCTTTCAAAGATATTTCCTTTCAGTGCCTTGTTCTCAGTGTCCTCATTATGGTTAGAGAAGCAGGCTTGAATCAAGTGTATGCTGTTACACTTGAGAATATGAAGTTTCAGGGGTTTAGGACTGAAATGAACATGCAGTGAGACAGTGAGGGCAAGAGGCAGTTCAGGAAGACTTCCCAAGTGTTGGTTTTAGTAATTTTGAGGTTCAGCCACAGTGATTTTTCTACTGTCTGGGACAGACCATAAAAATGTGAAGTCTAAGGACAATGTCCGAGGACTTAGTCAAGTCATTTAAGTAAATGTTTATGAAGGATTTAGTAGGTGTTTTCACTATACTAGTTGCTAGGGTGCAAAGATGAATGAGGTGAGTCTTGTAGGTCCTGCTAAGGAATTTTGTCTTGATTGTGGGGAGCCACTGAAAAGTGTTTTTAGCAGGGCTGACGTGATCAACTACAAGTCAGGCAGGAATGTGAAGTTGAGTGTGGATGTAAGTTACATCATTTATCATAGCAAAGTATTAGAAATAGTCCAAAATATCAAGTAGAAAGAAATGGGCTTAAAAAATGAATACTGATGCAGGGAAGTCTTACGGAATATGCTGACAGTGAAACACAGGTAACAAAACATGTACAATATGATTGCAGTTTTGTTGAAAAAGAAATAAGTTCAAAGATGGAAAAAACTTATAGGAAATATACCAAAATTCCAACAGCTTATTTCTGGATAGTGATATTTTACATACATTTTTCTTTCTTTCTTCTTTTCAGTTTTTTCTTGTTACAGTATAGATGTATAGTTTGCAGTATCAGAATGTAAAAGCACCTGCTTTTTATTTTTATTTTTTTATGTTTTTCATGCTTTTATTAGTTTACTAAATGGTATATGCCTCTTAATCTTTTTTTAAAATAAATTTATTTATTTATTTATTTATGGCTGTGTTGGGTCTTCATTGCTGTGCGTGGCCTTTCTCTAGTTGCAGTGATCGGGGCTACTCTTTGTTGCAGTGCGTGGGCTTCTTATCGTCGTGGCTTGGCTTGTGGAGCACGGGCTCTAGGTGCGCAGGCTTCAGTAGCTGTGGCACACGGGCTCAGTAGTTGTAGCTTGCAGGCTCTAGAGCGCAGGCTCAGTAGTTGTGGCACATGGGCTTAGTTGCTCCGCAGCATGTGGGATCTTCCCGGGCCAGGGCTCGAACCCGTGTCCCCTGCATTGGCAGGTGGATTCTTAACCACTGCGCCACCAGGGAAGCCCCGCACATGCTTTTTAAATTGAAAAGAAAGAAAAGAAGTAGAAACTAGGTGCTGTAAGCGCTCCTGGACCTACTGGACCCATTGTGTTTTTTCACCTGTTGTTTGGAAGTGACACTGACTGCCTGACCCCGTATCTGGTTCTTCAGCACAGGAGGAAGCGCCGCTCCACCCCTTTGACTTCCTCCACGCTGCCCCCACAAGCACCAGAGAAAAGCTCCTATTTGCAGACCACAGAGATCTCTCTCTGGACCGTGGTGGCCGCCATTCAAGCCGTGGAGAAGAAGATGGAGTCCCAGGCTGCCCGGCTGCAGAGCCTGGAGGGTCGTACGGGGACGGCCGAGAAGAAGCTGGCCGACTGCGAGAAGACGGCCGTGGAGCTGGGGAACCAGCTGGAGGGCAAGTGGGCGGTGCTGGGGACCCTGCTGCAGGAGTACGGGCTGCTGCAGAGGCGGCTGGAGAACGTGGAGAACCTGCTGAGGAACAGGAACTTCTGGGTCCTGCGGCTGCCCCCGGGCAGCAAGGGCGAGGCCCCCAAGGTTAGCCTTGAGGGTTGAGAGTCAGACCAGAGGGGGTGGGCCCAGCCCTTTGTTAGTGAAGATTCTCAGTGGCTGGCTTTTCCTTTGTGGCTTTGATAGGAGACACTCACTGTGTGCCATTTGTGATTTCAGGTGTCCAGGTCACTTGAAAATGATGGAGTCTGTTTTTCAGCGCAGGAGTGGGAGAACCTGGAGGGCTGGCAGAAGGAGCTCTACACAAATGCAATGAAAAGCAGCTATGAGACTCTGGTCTCCTTAAGTAAGTAGCAGAGTTTCCTCCCTAGAATTTGCTCTCAGGCATCCTACAATTCTTGGCCAAGTAGCTTGTGACCCAGGCTGCATCTGTGATTCTAGTGGGCTGTGGATCCTCTCTTGGCCTCAGCCAGGTTGAGAAATGGGAGTCTCCAGGCCCTCAATTTATGAAGACTTTTGGAAAGGTCTTGGTGTTGTGCATTTTGTATTTCTTCCCTGTGCTCATGTAGTCGGTTCACCCCTGCGGCCTCTCCCGTTGCGGAGCACAGGCTCAGCGGCCATGGCTCACGGGCCCAGCCTCTCCACGGCATGCGGGATCTTCCCGGACCAGGTCACGAACTCGTGTCCCCTGCAGCGGCAGGCGGACTCTCAACCACTGCGCCACCAGGGAAGCCCCCAGTCAGTTCTTGGTAATATTTACTAATAGATAAGATGTCATCCTGTGCCTTAGAGTTTAACATGGATAGGGTTCCTCATGCTGCTTTTAATACTTAGGACTGCTTGACAAGAAATCCTTTGTTGCCTGGGATGGGCAGACAGCATGGGCTCACCAAACACTGTTTCTTGGCGTTTACCTGGAATTACAGATGGTCCTTGTGGTCGCAGTGTTCATTTTGTGTTGATGAGAAGTGCTGATTGATAGATGTACATCTTTATATGTAAAATATAGGCTATTACATAATAAATGCATTTTGTTTGGTTGACAGAATCTTTTAGAAGCTAGGTCCTTGGAGCCTTGTCAAGAAGGCCAGTGCGCCTGGAGCGAAGAGGGGGAGGGAAGTAGCAGATGGGTCAGAGATAGGACTGCGTGACCTCGACTGGGCCACGTGTTCTGCTAGTGGCTGTTTCCTTGTCTGTCACAGTGGGGGATAGCGGTGCTGACCTTACCTTGCAGTGCTGTAGCCCAGATGAAGTTAGATACCCGGAGAGGAGCCCATGTCTGTGGGTGGCAATGGTGGTGTTGGAAGGAAAGCAGTGGGCTCTGAAGCCTGACCACCTGTGCCTCAAACGGCTGAGAAGGGGCATTGAAGGCAGCAGTTAGCTGAATGGATCACTCGAATTGGCCATAATTTTCTAATTGTCCCAAACTGCTAAGGGAAAGTGACTTTGAATCTTTTGAAGTTTTAACATCAGCTCCTTGACATTGGTCACCTTGTTCGTCGGCAAATGACCAGTACTGTCTCCTGGGTTCACACTGTACCGTTTCCAACCCAGAGGTGCTTGGCCAGCCAGAAGGAGAAGCGGAGTTGGGTACAGAGATGCTGGATGACTTGGAGGAGGAAGACTCTCATGGTGTCCACCCAGGTGAGTGGCTCCAGAATACTCCACCCCATGCCCGCTCCCTGCAGCCTATAGTGAGCTGCCCCACTGCTAAACTGCCAAACACTGATTGTTAGTAACCTCATCTGGCATTTATTTGTTCTAAAGTCCTTTATGATTATCATCAGCTCACCTATCATATGTGTATCTTACCTCCTTAACTGCTGTGTGGAGTCCCTAAGGTACACGGCCGTGTCATACTTCTTTATGCCCTGCAGACAGTGTAGAGTGTCTAATAGGCCTTAGTCAAAACCCACTAGAGATTGAGAACAGGGTTGGTCAGATCTTTAGGAGTGAAGCTAACTGGGTAAGGGGCAGGAGAAACCGTTGTAAACCAGGTAATTTGGGGAGAATATGCAGGAAGAACAGAGCTGGATACGTGAATTTTTAAGCTATAGGTTCAGTTGTTTGGTTTTTTAAAATTATTCACATGTATTATTTTAACACTCTGTAACATTTAAATTAGCTTAGGTGTTACCTATGTATATTTTACCATTTTCCACAGAGTTGAATACAAATTTGTGGACAGGCTTAGAGAATTTATAACACTGTTTGGTAAGAATAACATATTCGGATTTCCGATCAGTATGTCTCTACCTGAGTATAGGTTACTTTTTCAGGTCTTTCAGCCCAGTCTGTCTCATCCTCTTCCAAATTATCCTGATTCCCTTGATCCTGGGGTACTTTGATTTGAGCCCTTCTGAAATTCACAGATGTTTGTTCAGCTGTGAAAAAACCAAAGGAGCTAGAATGTGATCTTTTTCGTGGCTCTTCTTTGTCTTGGCAGTGGAAGGGGTTATGATCAAGCAGGAGATACAGTACACGCAGGACGGTTCTGCGGATCTTCCTGGAGAGTTCTCGGGCATTGCCGAAGAGCACGCCTTCCTGAGCCCGGAGCAGCCTGAGCTCTGGGATGGTCAGGGACGTTCTGTCCTCTTGGAATCAGGTCCCGCGGACACTAATCCAGAGGAGCCCATTGAGGGCAGTAGAGACCCTAGCAGTGGCAGAACTCTGGGCTGCCCCCCGAAGCAGAAGTCTAACAGGCAGCTGCAACTGGGTCAGCAGCGTGGGCAGGGCCTGAAGCTGAAAAGGGACACTGCTGGCCCCTACGAATGTTCCGAGTGCGAGGCCATCTTCCGCTGTAAGCAGCAGCTGGCCGCACATCTGCGGACCCACTCGGGATGGGAGCCTTACACGGCCTCGGAGCCAGAGGAGAGCCTTCGGCCCCGGCCCCAGCTTAAGCCCCAGCCCCGGAAGGCGAAGCTGCACCAGTGTGATGTGTGCACAAGGAGCTTCAGCTGCAGGGTGAGCCTGCTGACCCACCAGCGCTGCCACCTGCAGGAGGGGCCCGGTGCCGGCCGCCGGGTCCAGGAGCGGTTCTCACCCAACAGCCTGGTCGCCCTGCCCGGCCACATCCCTTGGAGGAAAAGCCGGAGCGCCCTCATCTGTGGTTACTGCGGCAAGAGCTTCAGCCACCCGTCCGACCTGGTGCGGCACCAGCGCATCCACACGGGCGAGCGGCCCTACAGCTGCCCTGAGTGTGAGAAGAGCTTTGTCCAGAAGCAGCACCTCCTACAGCACCAGAAGATCCACCAGCGGGAGCGGGGCGGGCCGGCCCTAGAGCCCGGGAGGCCCAGCGGCCTGCTCTAGGGGAGCCAGCCCTGGAGCCCAGGAGGCCCAGCGGCCTGCTCTAGGGGAGCCAGCCCCTCGCCCTACTCGGGGAGGCGGAGGGGGCTGGCGCTGTCCCCACGAAGAGACAGTGTAGCGTCAGGGACTGACTTCTTTCTGAGGGGAGTCACTTTGATTTGCTTTCCCTTGACCGGGCGCCAGGCCGAGCCCAAAGGCTGTCCTGAAAACCACGGAGGAGGAGGTGTCGGGGCCAGGCCTCTCCTGCTGTCTGTACCCTGCTGCCGAGTTTGCCATCTCTGTGGCACCGTCAAGTCTCTGCTTTTCCCATCTGAGTTGATAGTCGTGGGCTGGGGTTGGCTCTCTAAGCCCGCAGGGCTGGTGGCCTGTTCCAGGGCCCGTCCCGGCATTCAGGTCTTCCCGAGGGTTGAGTCGGGCCACAGGAGCGAGCAGACATGGTGGAAGCAGAGCCCTCTAGCTGCTCTTCTTTTGTCATCTCCTTGTTAATAACAAGTAGAAGAAATAGTTTAAGTGAACTGCTTACCGTGCTCTGAAGACCCTTTTTTTGGAATTAGATTTTAGTTGGTTAAAAAAAAAAGGCAAAAAGGCTGACAATTCCTAAATTTCCAGAGTTGTAGAATTTGTTCCCAGCGTGGGGACTGGGCCCGCCCTCGGGGGGGCCAGGCATGGGGCTCTTGTGGCCCCACCCACATTTAGTCAGGGCCGCAGTGCTGGGCTCCGTCTTGTGCGGGTGCTTGGCGCTCCGGGATAGGGCTGCCTGACCGGGAGGAGGGTGGTAGGGTTAGAGCCCAGGGCCCCTGCGGGGAATGAAGGGTCCTGTAAAGGAGCTGAGGCGCGGTCCTGCTTCTCCGAGTCTGGGTTTCTCTGCTCTTCCAGCCCATCCTTGCTGCGGCTCTGCAGCCTCCCAGCTTAGGAGACACTACTTTTTACTTAAGGTTGTTCAGCTCATACCAGTGGTTACTTGAGTTGGTTTTTGTTACAGCAGTTGTTTCTTGAGGTTGTTCAGATCACACACTTTCCACAGTAGTTCTGGGATTGACTATTCCTGAAATGGTGGGATAAAAGCACACAGATGCCCATCTCTCAGGAGTGTTGAATGCCTGTCCCACTGTTGTTTGGGGAGATGAGAGTGGGCTCCTGGGTCCTATGTGAATGTCCCCTTTGATGTTTGCAGTTGCCTAGAATAAAACTTAACTACTAGCAAAAAAAAAACACAAAAACCCCACAAAACTCCTGTTTGATGTTTTTCTCCATTTGTCAAGAATACCCTCCTGGGGCCAAGATGGAGGCAGTGCCTGACTTGGAGCAGTGCCAGAGGCCTGATGGCATAGCCTGACCTGCATCCTTCCTTAAACCTAGGGAGATGAGAAGAGGCGTGTATGGGAATACTCACCAACACCTGTGGTGGTTGAGGGCTGCAGGCAGTCTGAGCGTCTGAACGTTGGGAGGTAGAGAGGGCAGGTGAGACATGGTGGGTGCACCAGGAGTCCTGGGGAGCAGTTAGGGGTATTGGCTTAGCTACACATGTGGCCGTATGGGTCCATCTTAAACATGGTGCTGAGTGGTGAATGTAAGAAGTTGAATGAGATCTATGACACAATACCATTTCTGTATATTAAAAACGTACACAAAACAAATCACTTTGTAAGAACACATAGAAGCGAAAAGTTACATACAGGCATTACGGTTGCCCATGGGAGGAATGAGTGGGATATGGGGTTGAGAAGAAACTAAATAAATAGATAAAAATGAGCTTGGTCGCTGTAAGGTAAGGGATTATCTTGGTGTAGAAACGGAACGTGGAGGGAAGCTGTCGTAGGGCAGCGCCGTGAGAGGTGCTCAGCTTCACTGTATGGAGGAAAACGTCTGGAGCACCTCTCCTAAATCCCTCCTTCAGTCTCCTGCCTGCGGGTTTTTGCATTAGAGATACCCCCTATCCCATCCTTGACTATTCTTACCTCCCAGTGAGTGCTTTAATGTGACCAGCCTTTGCCTCGCATCCTGGGGAGAAAAAGTACAAGATAGGGTCCTATTTCTCCAGCAAAGTTAGGTTCTTCTTGAGGCAGGGAAATGATTGTCTTAATCCATCAGACTAGTGTAGTAATGGCTAATGTTTACTGAGCACTCATGTGCTAGTCACTGTTTTAAGTTCTTCACATAAAAATGAACTTAATCCTCACAAGAGCCTATGTGGTGGGTATGATTATTACTCCATTTCACACGTGAGATGCGGGAAGAGACCTGAGAGGTGATGCAGGAGCAGAGGTGGCCGTGAACCAGGCCATCTTGCTTCAGTGCTCACACACTCCACCACAGGCTCTGTTGCTTCTGGCTGACCACGATTAAGGACCTCGTGTCTGGGTTGGATTCTAAGTCCTTGTTACCCAAAGTGTGGTCTCTGCACCAGAAGCATTGGCACCCCCTGGGAGCTTGGTAGAAGGGCAGGCTCTGAGACTCACTGAATCAGAATCTGCATTTTAACAGGATCTCCAGGTCATGCTCTGCACACAGAATACACTGTTTTAAGTGATTCTTCAACTCTCCTTCACTGAAAGTCTGCTCTGCTGGGTGATGAGAAGGAAACAGACTGTGCAACTGCCTGAAGGACAGGGATGATCAAGTTAGATTAAATCAACATATAGTGAAGAGTGAAATGCCAAACATCAGAGATTAATCTGTCCAATCTTCTCCTTCCTATTCCACCAGGTAAGGGCCTAATCATCGCCCAGCTAGTTTTCACTCAGTAACCTAACTGGTCTCCTACCCTTAATCACGTCCTTTTTGCTACCAGGGTTCTTGTCCTGGAACACAAATTGGACATGGGCTTTCCTCAGAGCCTTGCAGTGCACTGACGCTACTGATAAACAGCAAGCTTTTAAGTGTAGAGCTCAAGACCTGGACAACCTAACCTACTCCGGGTTTGTTCGCTTTTCACACTAAATTCTCTATGCTGCTGCCACAGTGGGATTCCAGTCATTTAGTCAATGAGCCGTACTTTCCCACGACTGAATTCAGCTCAGGCGTTCCCTCTCCCGGGAATGCCCTTCTCTGTGAACCAAGTACTATTTATTTTTCACTTCTCAGTTCGTAGGCCCCCTTTTGTGAAAGCTTCCCTTGTTCATTTCTTTTATTCAACAAATATATGTTGAGCACCTATTACTTAGGTACTGTTTTAAATACTTGGGGTATGTCAGTGTATAGAAAAACAGTCTTTGCCCTAGTTGAGTTTACATTCAATCAAAATACATTTCCTTTAAAAAAAGTTTTTTTAGTTGAAGTATAGTTGATGTACAACGTGTAAGTCACAGGTGTACAGTACAGTGAGTCACAATTCTTAAAGGTTCTACTCCATTTATAGTTATAAAATACTGGCTATATTCCCTGTGCTGTACAGTATATCCTTGTAGCTTATTTTACGCCTAATAGTTTGTACCTCTCAATCCCCTACCCCTGTGCTGTCCCTGCCCCCTTCCCTGTCCCCATTGGGAACCATTAATTTGTTCTCTATATCTGTGAGTCTATTTCTTTTTTGTTAATATTCGCTGGTTTGTTGTATTTTTTAGATTCCACATATAAGTGATATCATACAGTATTTGTCTTTCTCTGTCTGACTTATTTCACTTAGCATAATACTCTCCACGTCCATCCATGTTGTTGCAAATGGCAACATTCCATTCTTTTTTATGGTCGAGTAGTATTCCATTGTATATATGTACCACATCTTTATCCATTCATCTGTTGATGGATGCTTAGGTTGCTTCCATATCTTGACAATTGTAAATAATGCTGCTGTGAACAGTGGGGTGGAAATCTGTTCCCTTCTTGTACTGTACCTTTGCATAGCCTTAGATTTTGTTCACTCGTGAATATCTGAGTAGCCTCCATGTGCAAAGTCTACAGAGGGAGGGATAAAAGGTTAAATCAGATTTTGTTCTTGGGCTCACAGGCCGTCAAGGGACTTTAATAGAAGATAGAAAATGAAGCTCAAATTCTGTAAGAGAACAGTTACATTCAAGTTGCAGGACATTGGGAAAGGCTTTATGAGAGATGACATTTGAGCTGGACCTTTAAGGATGAGATGAAGGACATTCTAAAAAGGAGAGACATGACAAAACTAGACCTTATGGGGCATGTACCAATAAATATCAATTCATTCGACTTGGCTGGAGGGTGGGGTGGGAGGAGGGGAGTAGTGGGGGACGTGGTTGGAAAGAGAGGTTGGGGTCAGACTAAGGAGTTTGGGTTGTATTGAGTTAGTAATGGGGAGCTGAGAGTTTTGAGCAAAAGGGTGGGTGACCTGAATCTAGCTGCGATTTGGGACTATTAACCTCAGAAGAGGTACAGCATGCTTCTGTTGTTGCCGGGGTGGGGGATATGTTAGAAGGTTTTTGAGTGAGAACAGCAAGAGCCAGTGAGGATCTGACTGGGTGCAGCTTCAGCGTGAAGAGAGTGATGGACAAGATCACCGAGGTAGAGTCAACAGGAGGCGATGCTCTTTGAAGGCAGGGACCAGGTCTTAATTGTATCCAGATTCCACAGCTCTGAGCATGGGGGCTTCCCGCATAGATGCTCACTGCACGTTTACTGAATGAACAGGTGTAACAGGAACTCACAGGATAGGGAGCTCAGTGCTGTCTGAACTAGGGAGGGCGTCGTGGAGGAAGGGGGATTTGGTTATACTTCTGGTCTTCCTCTGCTAATACTTCCTCTCCTACCACTTTACACTTCTGGGTGGGTCCACTTTCTAATCTAAAGGTAGGGTGAGGGGGCCACGGGAATTCTCTCTGAGCTGCCCCATCTCCTGGCTGAGGGCACTAGCACTTGAGTATCTTGACCACCCCCCAACCCTACGTGACCCTAAGGTGTTGTTTTAGTGGCCCTCATCTTCTGACCAGCCCACCTTCTGCACCACAGGCCGATGGCCATCTGTCTCAGAGTGGGCTGCACCTGGGTGGAGTCACCCCTGTCCCTGCAGGGTCTGTGCCTCTACTTTGGAAATCCCGTATTGTCGACTCACCCAGAGGTATTCAGGCCCTGGAGACCTGATCCAAAAAAGAGCAAATCCACAGGAGACAGATTAATAACTAAGGATGCAAGTAATTTTAATTTATATTAGAGCTACACCTGGCCTGACACCCAGGCTGGTCTGCTGCGGAAACCACATTATGGTGTCAAGTTTTTGTATTTTTTGTTCAATATATTTATAAAATCAGAGCATGGGAATGAGAGGCAGCTTTGGGAGCTAATGCACAGGGCAGTGTGATCATTCAACCAGTAGAATCAGCATTTCATGGCAACTAGTTAGAAATGAAATTCTGGACTCCTACCCACTCCAGCCTCAGGCCTAGAAACTCTGAGACCGGTGCCCAACAGTCTGTATTTTAACAAGCACTCTAGGAGAGCATGATGCACACTGAAGTTTGAATACTGACTGACAGAAACTCTTCTAAAAAACTCAGACCAGCTGTCAAAAATTAGAGCACTCTTCCCTGAACAAAGCTTGTTTAATACTAGGATCTTCCTCTCCAGTCCATTTTCCAGACTCTTTCTGTTTGCCTTGGACATTAACTCTTACTTTATGAGATCACAACTTATAAACTTATAAGAAATTTATAATCCTTAATATATTGGTCTTACTGACCCCTGCTGAGAACCGAGGGATGCTCTTCCTGTGTTCAGCACAAGTTTGCAAACTGTCTTAAGGTCAGGTTACTTCAACAAGGATTTCCACAATAAACAATGCCATATATTGATTTGACTTCTTGTTACCTTAAAGTAACACTTCCTAACCTTGCCCCAAATTCTACGGGTGCACCTTACTTGGAGAAGGTATCAATTTACTTACGTTCTTATTATATTGATTGACCACACTTTTGCTTGGATCAAATACATGGGCAAATCATTTTCTCCCACCCTCCCAAGAGAAAAATGCTAAGAAAAGAAACAAAAACAAAGCATACACACAAACAAAACTGCAGAGTAATTTCTAGTGGGAAGAATTTCCGGGCTTGTTGGACAGAGTGAGATGATTGGGAAATGCAGAAAAGATAGAAAATAAAAGTTAAATGGCATGCAGCATATTTTACTTTATATTCAGTGATTAACTGGTTTTCCAGAGCAAGGCTCCTGGGTTGCAGATGAGGAAAATAGGTCCTAGATTGAGTCGTTTATTCAAGATGCCTCAGGGCCTGAATTAGTGATGGATTCACTCTCGCTGCAGAGGATCCCCAGCTGGTGGCTGAGGCGCAAGTGAAGACTGGGCGTGGCAAAGAGGGCTTCAGAGCACTCTGCGGAGGATGCTCGAGCCGTGTCTGCTGGGAAGGTGGGCCCCAGGGAAGGACGAGGAGACCCAGGGTCCCCAAAGGGAGGTTTGGGGAGGGAGGTGGAGCTATTTTTTTTTTTTTTAAGGAAATAAAATTTTCCTGAGGTCTATTTGTTCTGGAAAACTAATAAAGTTTAAAAACCCTTATCGATCCCTCCCACCCCCCTGGCTTTTCCCGGGCAAAATGTATAGTCACTTTGGGTCCATTAGAGGTGTTCAAACGGCAAATCAAGTGCATACACTTGAGATTACGCGGCAATGACTGACCTTCCCCCAAAGCTTCGAAGTTTCCTGCGCGTTTCCTTTATTAGCTCCCTGGCTGGATTCCCCCAGCACCCCGGAGAGGGGTTAGGGTCCCACCGTGCCGGCCCTGCGCGTGGCCCACGCCGCTCGGCCCAGGCCCGAGGGTCGCCTCCGCCCGACGGGAGCCAGTCTGGAGGGCCCCGCGGCGCGTGAGGCCCGGCGTCGACTACCGCGGCCCAGGAGAGGGCGGGCACCCCGCTCCCCCCGGGAGACCCCCGCGGCCGCCGGGGCGGGGGGGCGCAGAAGGCCGCGGGCCGCGGGCGTGCGGTCCTTCGGGCTGCAGGGGGCGCTGTGCGCGCCCTCGGGCAGGGCCGCGAGCGCAGCTCTTGTTTAAAGGGCCGGCGGGGCACGTGGCTCGGACGCAGCTCGCGGCCGCCCGGCAGGAGCTCCGAGGCTGGGCGGCTCAGCTCCGCCTCCGCCGCCGCGCTGCGCAGCGCCGCGCCGGGCCCGACAAGCCGGCCCTGAGGAGAGCCGCCCAGAGAAGGACGCGGGCAGCCATGGCCGAAGCGGCGCCTGCCCCGGTAAGCGCCCCCGCGCGGACGCCCAGCCCGGCCAGGCCGCCGACTCCACCGCCGCGTGGGCCCGCGCGGGTCTCGGTCGGGCGGCCCGAGCGGCCCGCGCGCCGCCTCCGCCCAGGCCCGCGCTTCGGGCCCTCTCGTGCCTCCTGGCCGCCCTCGTCCGCCGCGGCCGGGCGGCCCAAACGCGAGGCCGGGCGCGGCGGGCGGACGGCCCTGACGTCGGGGGACAGGCCGGGCTTTCTAGTTACACTTAAGATGACAAGCCCTCGTCTTTGAACCGAATGGCTGTTTCCCCGCCCCGTCCATTGTCTCACTGGAGGTCCGGCGGCCCCGGAGGCAGGCAGGGGGGCAGGGGCGCCGGCCCCATTCGGTTCTGACGACCGAAGTCTGGGCCTCGGGGCGGGGAACGGTCCGAAGTCGCCCACCTAGTAGAGGCCAGAGCCTGACGCCCACCGGGGGCTCCGGAGTTACACCCCCCTTAAGGTGCCCAAGTGTTCTTCTGACACCTAAGAGGTGTTGAGTGCTGTTTACTGGCGGGATTGTAGGTGTGGTGCTTTTGTTGTGTTTGTTTTTTTGTTTTTGTTTTTAAGATTAGTTTAGCAGATGTTACAATGTTGGCTGATAATGTGCAGTGTGTCCAATTCGGAGAAAATAATCTGTCCTTTTTGGACATACTCGAAAAACATTTGTAAAGAGCTCAATAAATGGTTATCTACTATTATTAATACATATCCTAATAAAGTGGTTGAAGCCGTGATTTTTCTGGATGCTGATTATTGTGGATGATTTTTAAGGAGGAACTTTTCTCTCTTTAACTAGTGAGTTTGGTGTGTGCTTTTTTTAAGGGTCCTCTGAGTGCAAGGCAGAAGAGGATGGGAGTTCTTGGGGTTTATGGCCCCCAGGAAGGCCTTTCTGTAGGGGGACAAGTGACCTTTTCAGCTCCCACTTAGCCCTGGACCACTTTCTCAGTACTCGTTCTGACCATTCTTATCTACCCGCCCCTTTTCCTCTGCTGTCTTGTAGCACCTGAGATCCCAAGAAACTCCTCAAACAGGACAGATTTGCCCTCAACTTTCGATAGCCCATGGTATCACACTGTTATTTAATTTATTATGACTATTTTTGTACAAAACTCTTCTCCAGGAGAAGGAAGAACCACACACTTTGTACCATCAGTTGTACCATCAACTTTGCACCATCAATTCTCACAATCCTATCATGTAGGCACTGTTATTACCCCCATTTTATAGATGTGGGATTGAAGTTGAAATGCTTAACAAACCTTGCCAAAGTCAGCCAGCTTGTGAGTAGTGGAGCTGCCAGCTGCGCTCTGGTTGTTTGACTGCAGAGCTTCTGAGTTTCGGAGGAGGAGACTGAGACCCGGAAAGGAAGTCACCTGTGTGAGGCCACAGATGCTTTCCCGCTTTGGCCATGCCTTTCCTCCTGTTTCCCACTTGCTAACACCCTGGTCCAGCCAGTGTTTCCTGTCCTAGAGGCTGGATATCCCCCCTCCCCATCCCCGGCTGCCTGACTGGTCCTCAGGATCCCAGATGGGGCTTCACCTGGGCAGGTGCCATTCTGAGGTTTCTTTTAGAGATGGACATTTTGACTGGATAATTCTGATAACATCTCTCTTTTCTCTTGTGGACAGGCTCCAGAGAGGGACAAGCAAACAGGGGATGAAAGGCCTTTGACGCCTTCTCCATCACCCCAGCTGGCTGCTGAGAAGAGCTCATACCTCTACTCCACGGAGATCACTCTGTGGACGGTGGTGGCCGCCATCCAGGCATTGGAGAAGAAAGTGGATTCCTGCCTGGCCCGCCTGCTGACTCTGGAGGGGCGGACGGGGACGGCGGAAAAGAAGCTGGCCGACTGCGAGAAGACGGCCGTGGAGCTGGGGAACCAGCTGGAGGGCAAGTGGGCGGTGCTGGGGACCCTGCTGCAGGAGTACGGGCTGCTGCAGAGGCGGCTGGAGAACGTGGAGAACCTGCTGAGGAACAGGAACTTCTGGATCCTGCGGCTGCCCCCGGGCAGCAAGGGCGAGGCCCCCAAGGTAAGCCCTGGGCGCCGGGGGTGGGACAGCCCGTGCCCGTCAGCGTGCGGGTGAGCGTGCGTGACACTGTGGTTCCAGGTGCCCGTGACCTTTGATGATGTGGCCGTGTATTTCTCTGAGCCAGAGTGGGGCAAACTGGATGAGTGGCAGAAGGAGCTGTACAAGCACGTGATGCGGGGCAACTACGAGACGCTGGTCTCCCTGGGTAAGGCTGTGTAGGCGGCACCCTGGGCCTCGGTGCACAGGTGGGCCTCCTGCAGTCTGGGTCTTGACTTTGGCTTCTGTTCCTCTGGGGGTCTCTGCATCTCCGTGGGCAACTGCATGGCGGGTGTGCAGTCCTGACCCAGCTGCCTCTGTTCTGTGTGCAGATTATGCCATCTCCAAACCGGATATCCTCACCCGGATGGAGAGGGGAGAGGAGCCTTGCCCTGAAGGCCCGAGGGGCCAGGAGGAGGGGAGTGACAGAGAGGAAGCACGCCCAAGGAGGCTGGGCGCTGGTGAGTGGGGGCAAGATGGGGGCGTGGCTGGGGACAGTCCATTCATGTCCCCAGCCTCCTGCGCTTCCGAGCCATGTGGCCAGGACGGAGCGCAGGCCCTTAACCCAGGGTGGGCCGTGCCCTAGCCCCCTTCACCCGTTTCACCTACCTCCACCCCTCACCTCTGACAACCGCCAATCTGTTCTCTGTATCTATGACCTCATTTTTGTGTCTTTGTTTTTAATAGATTTCACATATGAGTGAGATCATACAATGCTTGTCTTTCTCTGACTTATTTCACGTAGCATAATGTCGTCAAGGTTGTCGCCAATGACAAGATTTCATTCTTTTTTGTGGCTGAATAATATTCCATTGTGTGTATATGCGACATTTTCTTTATGCATTCATTGATCAGTGGACACTTCAGTTGTTTCCATATCTTGGCTATTGTATATAAATAGTGCTGTCGTGAGCATCAGGGTGCAGATATCTTTTTGAGTTAGTGTTTCTGTTTTCTTTGAAAGAATACCTAGAAGTGGGATTGCTGGATCATATGGTAGTTCTATTTTTAGTTTTTTGAGGAACCCCTATACTGTTTTCCATAGTGGCTGCACCAATTTACATTCCCACCAACAGGGTACAAGAGTTCCCTTTTCTCCACATCCTTGTCATTTCTTGTTTTTTTGATAATAGCCATTCTAACAGATGTGAGGTGATATCTCATTTTGGTTTTGATTTGCATTTCCCTGATGGTTAGTGATGTTGAGCATCTTTTCATGTGACGGTTGCCCGTCTGTGTGTCTTCTTTGGAAGAATGTCCATTCAGATCTTCTGTCCGTTTTGTAACTGGATTTTTGTTGCTGTTGAGTTGTGTGCATTCTTTATATATTTTGGATGTTAACCCCTTATCAGATGTATGACTTGCAAATATTTTCTCGCATTCAATAGGTTGCATTTTCACTTTGTTGATGGTTTCCTTTGCTGTGCAGAGGCTTTTTAGTTTGATGTATTCTCTCTTGTTTATATTTGCTTTTGGTGTCAAATCCAAAAAATCGTTGCCAAGACTGATGTCAAAGAGCTTTACCGCCTGTGTTTTCTACTAGGGGTCTATGGCTTCAGGTCTAACCCAGTTGCCTTTCTTTTTCTGATCGTGAGCCTTATCCTTCTGTTATAAAGTTCCCCGTCAGCTTTTCACCTAATGATTTTATTAGCCATTGGAGATTGTTGCCTGGATTCATTATTTTATTAGGGGTTGCAAAATGGTGAAATTTGGTCATTACTTTTGTACGTAATAGCTGAAATTCTTTTTTTTTTTTTTTTTTTTGCGGTACGCGGGCCTATTAATTGAGCATAAATTTGATTCCTTTTAAATTTTGCTTTGAAGAAGTTTCTCACCATTGTGGCCTCTCCCGTTGCGGAGCACAGGCTCCGGACGCGCAGGTTCAGCGGCCATGGCCCACGGGCCCAGCCGCTCCGCGGCATGTGGGATCTTCCCGGACTGGGGCACGAACCCGTGTCCCCTGCATCAGCAGGCGGACTCTCAACCGCTGCGCCACCAGGGAAGCCCTGTAATTCTTCTATAAACAATAATTTCCCTAACTAACTCTTCTAGTTACCTCGAAATATAGCCTGTACAGAAAAGGCAGGATAGGTGCTTAATTCTTTCCCTTCATCAGTTTTTAGAATGAAGAGTTGCTTCCTTAGATGCCTCCAAAGGTGACCAATACTTGGGCTTTTCTTTCTTTTTTTTTTAATTATTATTATGACTTCATAGATTGTTGAGTATTTTATACATGCAGTCCTTTGCAGCCATTATTTTCATGCTTAAGTTGTCCCATTTTTAGCTCTTGGGAGCCCCTTCAAGTTGACCTATAGGTCATTTTGATGTAACTTTGATGGCGTTCAGACACCGTAAGATGTTCTAGTTTCATCTTGTATATTTCCTTCCCCAGACTTGGAATAAGTTTTATTTCTTTCAATAAGGAATGGTATTCAGAGACTGCAGTATGAGTTCCAGTAGTTGCTAAATTTTGGCATTACTTCTAGGCCTTCTCAGAAAATAATGTATTTTTGAGAAGAAAAAAATCATGAGTTCCTACTGATATTTCGAATTCAAATTTAATGTCCTTTGATTTTATACTTGTATGTCACTTTTACATGGACATCTTAAATTCCTCACTATATCAGCATAATTACTTATTTGCATTATTTTGTATCCAAATCTTAATATTTCATTATCCTATAATATCTTATTTGGAATAATAATAATTTGGAAATAATTTCAAATAATTGAGTCTGTATTACTACTAGCAATTACACTTCTAATTGAAATTTGAGATTTCTTTGCAGCGCTTTTTGTCATCTGAATGCATATTTCATTCAGGACTTAATAGACAAAATAATGCCTTTTAAAGTCGCTTGAAATAATTATTTTCTCTATGTGGTTATGCCACCAACTTGATATACAGTTAAGTTTTTTTTGTTTCTGCTTAATTTTACTTATTTATTTTTATTTATTTATTTAATTTATTTATTTTTGGCTGCGTTGGGTCTTCGTTGCTGCGTGCAGGCTTTCTCTAGTTGCGGCAAGCGGGGACTACTCTTCATCGCGGTGCGCAGGCTTCTCATTGCGGGGGTTTCTCATTGCGGTGGCTTCTCTTGTTGCGGAGCATGGGCTCTAGGCACGCGGGCTTCAGTAGTTGTGACACACAGGTTTACTTGCTCCGCAGCATGTGGGATCTTCCCGGACCAGGGCTCGAACCCGCGTCCCCTGCAGGCAGATTCGTAACCACTGTGCCACCAGGGAAGCCGCTGCCTAATTTTAGGTTTTTAGCGATGGCTCTTTTTAATTCTGATTTAACTTAACGTTTTGAACATGTAAGACATGGTTGCAAAGTCAAAATGATTTAACAGGATACGCTCAGGGAGGTCTCATTTCCACCCTTATCCCCTCCCTCTCCCTATAGATAACCATTTTTATTAACTTCTTGTTTATACTCCAGTGTTTCCTTTTGAAAACATCACTAGTACATAGATACCTTTGTATGTGCCCATACTGTTTGTCTTCGAAATACTTCATAGCAGTACGTAGAGATCTTCCTAATGTTTTGTGTGAATATGGAATGTTCCATGGTGTGATATACCATAGTTTATTTAACCAGTCTTCACTGATGGATTATTTGGGGAATAGCCCAGTATATTGCTGATACAAATAATGCTGTAGGGAATATCTTGTGCATAAATCAGTTCATATTTTTGTCAGTGTATCTTTGGGATAGGATCCCAGAAGCTGGACTGCTGGGTCACAGGTAAATGAATATGCAATTTTTAAAGAATTTATCACCAAATCCTCCTCCATAGGGGTTTTATCGTTTACATTCCCATCAGCATTGTGAAAGAGGGCCTCTTTCCCCACAGCCTTGCCACTAGAGAATGTGGTCAGACTCGTAGGATTTTTGTCTGCATAACAGGTAAGTACTTCAGTGTAGTTAAAAAAAATAGATTTACTGGAAATAATTCACAGACCATACAATTCACTCATTTAAAGTATACAATTCAGTGCTTTCTATCATATTCATAGATAAGTGCAGCCAACACCACAGTCAATTTTATAACATTTTTGTCACCTCAAAAACAAGCTCTGTGTCTTTCAGCTATCACCCTGACCCCCTTCCCAGCCCCCCAGCCATAAGCAACAACAAATCTGCTTTCTGACTCTGTAGATTTGCCTATTCTGGACATGTCATGTAAGTGGAATCATGTAGTATGTGGTCTTTTGTGTCTGTCTTCTTTCACTTAGCATAATGTATTCAAGGTTCATCTATATTGAGCTGTGTATTAGCACTTTATTTTTTTTTCTTATTTTAGTCAAATACGTATAACATAAAATTTACCATATTAACTGTTTTGAAGTATACAGTTCAGTGATATTAAATACATTTACCATGTTGTGCCACCATCACCACCATTCATCTCTTTTATTCTTTTACTGAAATTCTGTACCCATCAAACAATAACACTCCCCCCATTTCTCAGTCCCTGGCAGCCACAGTTGTACTTTATGTCTCCCTGAATTTGAGTACTCTGAGTACTTCGTATAAGTGGAATTGTACACTGTTTGTCTTTTTGTGGCTGGCTTATTTCACTTAGCACAGTATCATCAAGGTTCATCTATGTTGTAGCACATGTCAGAATTTCCTTCTTTATTAAGGCTTTTATTATATCGAGGTAGTTTCCTTCTATTCTTAGTTTTTTGAGTAGTTTTTTTCATAAAAGGGTGTTGAATTTTGTCAAATGTTTTTTCCGCATCAGCCGAGATGATCATGTGGGTTTTTTTCCCCCCTTCATTCTCTTAATGTGGTGTATTCCATTGATCCAGTTTCATATGTAGAACCATCCTTGCATTCCAGGAATAAACTCCACTTGGTTATGATATTTGATCCTTTTAATATGCTGCTAAATTCGGTTTGCTAGCATTTTGTTCATATTGGGATATTGGTCTGTAGTTTTCTTGTAGTGTCTGTCTGGCCATGGTAACAGTGTAGCTTTGTTTGTTTATGGCCATTTTAATTTTTTATTCTGTGAAATATTCATATCTTTTCCTGTAGGAAGCTTTTTTTAAAAATAAATTTATTTATTTTTGGCTGCGTTGGGTCTTCTTTGCTGCACGCGGGCCTCCTCCGTTTGTGGCGAGTGGGGCTACTCTTCGTTGTGGTGTGTGGGCCTCTCACTGCAGTGGCTGCTCTCGCTGCCAAGCACGGGCTGTTGGCATGTGGGTTCTGGAGTGCAGGTTCAGTAGTTGTGGCGCACAGGCCCAGTTGCTCCGCGGCATGTGGGATCCTCCCAGACCAGGGCTCGAATCCTCGAATCCGTGTCCCCTGCATTGGTAGGCGGACTCTCAACCACTGCACCACCAGGGAAGCCCCCTCCCCTAGGAAGCTTTTTAAAAATGCATACTTCCTAGGCCCACCCAGAACTAACTGATAAGAATCTTGGGGGTGCTCCCCAGGGGATCTTTATATACCAGCCTAGTGGAGGACCTGGGATTGGGAACTACCGTTGAAATGTTCTGAGCCAGGAGTCCTTAAAAAGCCAGATCTTTGTTCCTGCTGTGTCATGACCTGTGTGGTACTATCGGATAACTTAACATGCTATATATACCATTTCCTTTTCTCAGACATGGAGGCTTTAGTCTAGAATCTAGTTACTAGACGATCAGTAAAGTTCACTCAATTATCATACCCTGTGTTTGACCTGATGCTCCAGGTGACTGCATTTAGCCACTCCCCAGAGGCTCCTGGGAGACCTCTGCGTTGCCCGTAGTGTCACTGATTTGCATTCCCCAGGCCTTCCTCCATACCCAGAGCACACCTCCAGCCCAGTCAGCCCTGCCCAGAAGGAGCCAAAAGAAGGTCAGGCCTCCAAGCACCAGCAAGACTCAGAAACAAGAGTTACCCCACCCGAAACGAGCACCGGTGAGTGAGCGCTGGGCAGCCGTGTGAACAGGACCAGACAAGCGGCACTGAGCATAGGTGCTGCAGCTCGAGGCCGGGAGAGGTGGCTGGGGGCTGGGCTGGGCCGGGCAAGGCTGGACAGGCTTCCTGGAAAAGGGGCCCCTGAGACGGACCTTAGAGGTAGATTTTGCTGAGAACACAGGGGATTTTCAG